AACAAATTTTGATGTTAAGTGGTTGGCCAGATGGAAGAGTCTAGTGCCCCCCACCCTACGATTCTATGATACAGGGACTTGACTTCATTACTCTAAATTATTATTATTGTTGTTGTTGTCATCTTGTCTAATTAGTAGAATCCTTTACTGATTCATTACCAGATACCTAGGGTAAGGCTAAATAATAAATTAATGTATTCTACCTGCACAAATTCTGATGTCAAATGTCACTTGCACACATATACAGCATTCATATTTTCCTGATATTGATAATCCTCTTCAGAGTAGATGATTCATTTCTACACAGTGTCATTTTTTTTAGGTCGGGTCCACTTGACCTAATGTACCACACTCGCCCCTAACTCACCCCGTTTTAAGTTCCTAATACTTATTTTGTCATTGTCTTTAACATACAGTGATGTTCGATAAAAGTGACTCACCTGATTTATTTTTACTAAATGTTCTCTTCTCCGATGAAACGAAAGTTGAGCTAAATCCAAAGGATAAGCGATCTAAAATCCGAAGAAGAAGCCTTGAAAGCTTCGGTTAATTTAGCAGTAAGTACTGCCAAGCATCCGTTCAGTATAATGTTCTGGGGATGCTTTCCTTTTCATGGAACTGATTTCTTAAAACCTATTGAAAAGACCCTCAGGAGCAAGCAGTACAAGAGAATTTTAGAGTCTTGTCTGCTCCCTTCTGCTGAAAGGGTGCAAATTGAACCCACCAAGCTCATTTTTATGCAGGATAATGCTCCCTGTCACAAATCAAAATTGATGAAGGAATACTTTGGTGAGAAGCAGGTGAGTGTTATGACATGGCTGCCCCAATCTCCTGGCCTCAACCCAATAGAAAACTTATGGAGCATTATAAAGTACAGGCTCTCGAGAATGCAGTTGAGCAACAAAGAGGATTTGATTGTGAATTTCATATCCGAATGGAATTCAATGCTTGGAGATCAGATTTGCTAGAACCTAATCAAATCAATGCCAAAATGGGTTGAAAAGGTTATTCAAAATAGATTATTATATATTATTTATTATTATAGGTTATTAAATATTTCGAACTGTATTACGTATTATCAATAAATTATACCTCTATTATTCTTTATTTAAAGCTGTTCGGTTATGTTTCTATTGATTACTAGTTGCACGAAATAAGTGAGTCACTTTTTTTTTGCACATAGTTTTTCCCTAAATCACATTTATATCTAATTACATTTTTACAATGTGGTGAGGAAGGGGTCTTTATATTAATAAGATTAAAAATTAGTTTGACCCCAAAAACAATATGCAAAAAAATTTTAATTACAAAAATCAGGTGAGTCACTTTTATCGAACAGCACTATATATTTCTGTCTGATTATTACTACTATATCTATGCGACTGTATGTTTTGGTTGTCCTCTTTTATTATAATGTCAGGTCTATTCATTTTTATAAGCCTATCTGTATGAATGGCAAAAATCCAAAGAACAGTGACCACGTAGCTTCCTATGACTGTTTCAGGATGATTTTCATACAATTTTCAGCATGTAGTGCACTGTAATACAGACATAACTTCCTCTATGATAAACTAATCTTATCATATCAATCTTTCTATTCCTTTGATGTCAAGATTGGTTAATCATCTCAACATGTTCACATTATCTACATATTATATCTGGGCCTTTTCCCCTATACCTTGTAATTTCTTGTTAACAGATTTTGATCCAGTGCAGCCATTATAAATGCCTCTGTCTCTGCTTTTAGCCTTTCACTCTTTAGCCACTAAAGGGTTTTGCATTTAACTATATCTGTATAATCATTTCTGCGTGCTTATAGGCCATATAAAGGTTTTTGTCACCTGGTATTTTTTAAAATTGTTTAACCCTTATATATTGGTATCTATTTAAATAATTTTAGCTGTATTTATTGGTAGTGTATTTGCATTATTTTCTTTGACAGTGAAGTGTATTTCATACAAGATTATACCAGAATAGAATTTGCAGTCAATATCAAATCAGACCATACCATGAATGGAGCCAGGTGTCGTCTTAATCTGAGGTGGTGACCAGGTCACTGACTGCAGAATCACATGACATCACAGCTGCATGTTAGTTGCAAGCATGGAAAAGAATTGTATTACAGAAAGTTATACAAACACCCAACCTAGGGAGGATGATGGTGCTCTCTTAGACTTTGCAGACAAGTCCATGTTTTAAATGAGTGGCCACTCACACTCACACTTGGCCAAGCGTAATTTATGAATTAAGGAATATAATGTTAATAATGAGTAATTCAAATCTTGTGTTACTCGTTTAATCAGCTCAAAAAATAATTACAACAGTAATGGTGATTTCCTTTAGGAAATCTGTCTTCTTTATTGTCATATATGAATGAAAAGTGTCACTGCTGACAATGGAGTCTGAATGTTAATCTCTAGACAATGAACATGTAGATCGCCATTACTATACCCTTGGTATTTCCCCTATTATTGGCATTATTATATTCATGATATAACAACACTGTCTTTCAAAGATGGAAGAGAATGGCTAAAAGGAATGACAAACATATTTTGCTCTCAGAGAGAATTTTATATCACTAAGATATACATAAAATCATATATACATATTTACACATGTTTCATGCAGAGAAAATATAAAACATATCAACAAAACCAGTAGAGTGAAAGGGAAATGAAAAGATAGGGTTTTACATATAATATGGAGATTCTTCTGTTTCTAGAGAAGCCAGGTTTAAGATTCCAGATTTGAGTGAGCTGGATCATGGCCAACTAGTATTATACGACCAGATCTGTCACATAACAAGATGAATTCTAAAAAGCCAATGTAATGTAAACAAAAAAATGTGAATTGTCGCTTAGACTATTACTAATGTAAAATGGCAGTAACTGTAAAAATTGAATTCTTAGAACATAAATTCACAACATACAATTATATAGAATTTATCAAACATTATTTCCTAGACGTGTTTTCAACACTAAAAGTTTACTCAATTAGAAGTAGTGTTGTCCTAACAATTTTGCATTAAAAAAGGAAGATTCTATTCTAATTTATAGAATAGTCTTTGATCCTGAAACACATTTTTCATTGATAAAAGAATGTATTCACATTGATCAAAACCTTCACATCCAGCCCAAGTGTAATGGATCACCTATACTGTTACCACAGTGGTTTATACATGGACATAATGCTAAACTCACAAGATTTAGCATGTTAGAAAATTCTCCAAACTACATAAAAAATGTGATGGAAGAACAACTGTACTCAATTCTAAAAGAATTGCAAAAAAGACAACATTACCAACCAAGAGGTCATCCTTCATTTTCTGCAGAACTAATATATCATGCCTTAGTGTTGTGCTATTTGTCTCAATAAGCATACCAATTAGTTCTGGAGAAATTTCCTTTACCATCTTCTTCTTTATTAGAGAAAATGCAAAAAAATTACTTAAACGTTTTCAATGTAAAATGTGTTCCCTGGTCATGGTAGGCAATGATAGTGATGATGCTACAGACAAGTACTTTGACTTACATTTTTGCAGTTCCATCTAGCCAAAAGTTACTTAATACTGACAACATGTCTGAGCTATAAAACCAAGCATACTGCTGTTTTTTAATCAAATATTCACTGAACCTGATACATTAATAAACCTATGTAAATTGTTCATCTTTCCTTTGCAAATGTTGGCTGGAATACATTAGTTAATTTGTGCCTCATCACTTTGATTCATTCTACCTACATAGTCAGAATCACCTTGACATTGGAATTTGTAATTTTCAGAAATAATATTATGGTAGGCAGAACATGCTAATGTTTGGGGGGAAAAAAAAATGATGTTTTCTGATTGATTTTGAAAATTAATGGCAGTCATCATTTTAGAGAAATAATTCAGCTCAGCTCAGTGGCATTGGCATATATTGGAGGCCAAATTTAGTTTTTTGTTTAGATTTTGGAAAAATGAAATAAAACCAATAAATAAAATAATAAAGAATAAATTTATTTAATAATGTTGTTATAATGTATTATGAATAAAAATGAAAAGAAAACTTATCTTAGCTGATGCATTTTGTCCTCTAAGGGACTTTTTCAAGGCAAAGGATTTTATTTTGTGTCAAGTATTTATATACAAGAGCAAAAATGTTATTGGTATGGGGGGGTGCTATTGAATATTCATCAGGTTAGTGGAAAGTCAGGTAAGATCACAGACAAAGGAAATACAAAATAATGCCTAATAAATTAAAGTGAGTAAAAAGTTTTTAAAGGTTTCTTTTATTCATGCATAGATACATGTAAATTTGTATTTAAATTATTTGGGATTGGGATTAATTTATATGTTATATGTTTTGAATAACATGAGCTTATGGATTGAACCATTTTCTTTTAATTTTTTAGTATTTTTGTGGTCATGTATTGGGATAGTAGTAATTCTTTGAGAAAAGGAGATTTATATTTTGATAAGATTTGATAGCAATGCTTTTGAGAATTTTCCTTGTAAGTAAGATGTTTCTTTTTTTACTAAGTGTGACATTTACAAGGTCAAAGTTCTGGTAAAATATTTTATCATTTTATTCATATTGTTCTTTTACAGATATACTCTATCTTAAATTTCTAAATAATGTATTATACATGTTTAGTATTTTTCAAATACATAATAAATGAAATAAATTATGCAAGTGTTTGTTTCAATACACAGACTGATATAAGATTGTGTATTAAAAACAAACACTGAATTTTCTATTCAATACAACCCTAGCTCAAGAAGTTGTAGTCTAATTTTACTGAAATTTGGCACTGCACTTGGCAGGGGTTCAAGGTACAATATGCCCCTAAATTTGTTGGGCTATTATGTGTCATTTAAGCTCTAGCATCTGGAATACACATACACAGAGACAAGAATAGAATATCAGAATTGACTACTAATGCCATTCAATTTTTATTTATCTGTCCATTTGTCTCTATACTTTTTCATCTTCTGAATAATTCTTTTGCATTCGTTTTCATCAATATTCTGCAAAAGGTTGATAGATGAAATGAAGAAATATGGAAGATCTCTTGACTGTAGACGATCGATAAAAGAATTTATAGCATGAAGCATATATTCTTGAAGTTCTGGTCGCTGATGACTAATTTTTTCAAACATGTGTAAGCAATGGTTTGTTATATGATAAGAACCAATTTTACTCTTGTGATCATTTTCACATGTCAATATATTCTTTAAAACTCGTATGACACGTCGATCATCTGGTTTGCACTTGTCACGGATTATTTTCTTCTCAAATGTGGAATAACTTAGCCGCCATAATTCAAAATTTTCATCATCTGGATAAAAAAAGAAAGAAATATTTAGATTTGGATTTTATTGCAAAATGATCCTTGCCTATAAAACAAAAAAAACATGATAATTATAAAACAAACCAAAAATTTTCATTATGTACAAAACAAAAAAATGATAACTGATTTTGAATTTTAGATTTTTTCAGCAATAAAATGTGAGTAAAACATTGAATCTATTTCATGATTCATTAGAAATTAATCATCGTAGATGTAGTGGGAGTCTAATTTAAATTACTGAATAACAGAAATATTAAATAGTCTTCCCTGAGACAAGAACAGGGGATTGTCTATATTCAGTCCATGTGACTAATTACTTGAGTATCAACCATTATGATGTATTATGACAAGATCATAGAAAGTTCAGAAAGTCCTGATGCATAAGGTACCACACTATCTGTTTTAATGACAATGTGGAACTCTCTAATGTAAGGGAGAAAACTCAGATTCCTTCCCATATTGTTTATTTCCATTCTTTAATAGGTATATATAAATAATTCTGAAGATGCTTTTCGTGATCAAATCACAAATAATTTGATGTTTTTCTATATATAGCAGGGATATGATTATTATTATAAATAAACAAAAATAAAATATGAAATAATAATAATAATGAAAATTATAAATAAAATAAAACAATAATATTTAAATTAAATAAAAAATATAAATAATAAAAGTACTCCCAGCATGCAACAAAAATTGTTCCTGCCGCAAATATGGACATCTTGCCAAAAGATATATTCAATCTTTTCGTTGAAGAATCATCAGAAACACAACATGTGTGTAACTTCCCTCTGTGATATGACTTGTAACATTACAGAATAAATTACTCCATTTTATAACATGTACATTAACACAATTGTATTTAAATTTTTACTGGAAACCAGAAAAATGGCCAGAAATATAGTCAAAAAGGAATAAAAATTTAGATACTTGGGTTTTACTGTGTGAATTTTTTTATTTTGTTTATTTAAGAAGGCACCAATGTATTCTTTATATATATATATATATATATATATATATATATATATATATATATATATGTGTGTGTGTGTGTGTGTGTGTGTGTGTGTGTGTGTGTGTTTGTGTGTCAGGTATCAGGCAATTTGCTACTTTGGTTAATTGACCAAAATCATCTGAAGATACTGAAAGGTTGAAACCAAAGTAGTAGAATTGGCTGATCTCCTAATTTTCTATACTTAAAAGCAATACATGTTAAATTTTTTTATTTTTCTTATATGTTTATTATGCACTCTTTTAATACTTCTGTATCCTGGTCTAATTCAACTCTGACCATTCACTTCTTTATTATTGTTATTATTAATATATATATATATATATATATTAAGAAATGGACAAGGTCCGACAATTTATTTATTTATTAAAGACATTTTATTATGTTTAACGTTGTTATTTTATAGATACAAGTATTTAAGCAAATGCTCTGTTTATGATAAACAGTATTAAATAACATTTACCGGCCTGAATGTCCCAAAAAATTTTCATAGAAAATATTCGTTCTTTGACAGGATTCGAACCTGCATCCTATACGGAACCATCATATACGCTGAGGTGCCTTACCTCTAGGCTACAAAGAAGAGTTTATAAGTAGTAAATTCAATTTACTGTGGTTTCCATGAATCACGTACATTCATACGGTTCTCTGGCTGTATCGAATGTAAACAAATGAATATTTTATATTAAAAATATCGGACATTCAGGCAATTTATTTATTTAATACTGTTTATCATTAAACAGAGCATTTGCTTAAATACTTGTATCTATAAAATAACAACGTTAAACATAATAAAATGTCTTTAATAAATAAATAAATTGTCGGACCTTGTCCATTTCTTAATATATGACGTCATTTGTTTACATTCGATACGCCAGAGCAGTTATGAATGTACGAGATTCATGGAAAATTGGAGTTTATAAGCAGTAAATTCGACCTTGTCTACTGAACGCTTCTTTGTAGCCTAGCGGTAAGGCACGTCAGCGTATATGACGGTTCCGTATAGGATGCAGGTTCGAATCCTGTCAAAGAACGAATATTTTCTATGAAAATTTCTCGGACATTCAGGCCGGTAAATGTTATTTAATACTGTTTATCATAAACAGAGCATTTGCTTAAATACTTGTATCTATAAAATAACAACGTTAAACATAATAAAATGTCTTTAATAAATAAATATATATATATATATATACATATATATATATATATATATATATATATATATATATATATATTTATAATTTATAATTGCTTCATAAGTTGAGCTCTCTCTGGAATATTTCATTTTGGATTACCTTATTAACTATGGATTATACCTTATTAACTATGGATTATACCAATTAAATGGATAAACTTGCTCAGGAATATTCCCTGAAAAACATTCCCGACCCATCTTTACATTCTTTCACTCTATCATTCACAGATAAAATAATATACCTTATAAAAAGATTATGATGGAAAACATATTTTTACTTAAACCCCTCAGATGCACTAGGTTGCAAAAAGGAAAAATATAATCTAAAATCTTAAAATACTCCACCGCATAATAAACTCTGAGATCGTTTTGAAGCTGACATGTTAAACTTAATTTAAAAAATTAGCATCAGAAAACTAACCAATTCCAGTATAACTTTTTTTTTTTTTTTTTTAAGCATTACACCTTGAGCAAGGCGTGAAGCCACTAGGACGCAGGGGGTTGCAGAAGATTTGGAGCGATAGCAGATAGGAGAGATAGAAGAAAGGATGAGGAGAAGGATAGTGGTTAGATCAAGGTAACTGGAGGTGTTGATTGACATTACATTTGAATAGTTGGAGATTATAGCTCTCAGGGAAACAGTAATTGGGAAGGGTGTTCCACAGGCGAGAGGTGCGAGGTATGAAGCTATTGGAGTAGAAGAGACGGCTACATTTAGAAGTTTCTACAGTGTAAGGGTGGGAGCGGGATGCCAGCCTCATAGGGTGCTTATATTCATGGAGTCTTGGGACCAGTGAAAGCAGCTCATCGGAGCAATTACCATGAAAGTATTTGTAGCAAAGACAGAGAGAGGCGACGGCGCGTCTGTGAGAGAACAAAGACATTAAAACTATCAAAGACTCTAAAAATGTGTGGATCAAAGCTGACAAATCGAGAAATATTTATAAAATGAACCCCTTTAACTATCACAAACTCCTTCTCAATAAAATCACTAATACTTATGAACTAGACAACAATAATACTATTTCTTTAATTAACAAGGATGCTGCTAATTTTGCTAATAAATTTGATATTAAAGAAAGAATAGGGAAAATCCATATGAAAATGCATATTTGCTATTTAAAGACCACAAACGCAATTTTGATAATAACCTACATGCACAATTGATTAATCCTTCCAGAACTGAACTAGGTTTAATTTCAAAACATTATAATTAAAAGAATAATCTACACCATACAAGAAATCTCTTATAACCTCTTATAATAATTGGATACTATAAAGTGGTTCCATAGTATTAAGAATAAAAATAAGGCCATTTCCAAAGATCTCTTATTAAGAAGTTTAAATTTTGTTAAAAACTATATAGATATTACAGATGATAAATTCAGAATTATCCTAGCTTACAGAAAAACATTATTGATAAATAATAATTACACTTGAATTAAAAGTCATAATGATAATTTTGACATTCCTATGGGCACCTATGACACCTCTCAAATACCTGATTTAGTGGGCATCTATATATTAGACATTCATAGTAGGATTATTGATTCTAAACAGGTTGGTTCTTACAGAGATGATGGACTTATTTTCATCCTAGATAGTAATGGTTCACTATCTTCTAGCATATAGAAGAAGGTTATAAGGGATTTCAAATCCCTTGGTTTTAAGATTGAAATCTCATCTAACCTTAAAATATCTTAAATATCACTTTCAACCTTTCTAACAATACATTTAAGCCATTTCACAAAGACAATCAAACTCCTATTTATATTAATGTTAACTCCAATCATCCAAATTCAATAATTAGACAAATTCCTAACAGTGTAAACACTAGAATTAATAGGTTATCTTCTAACATAAAACACTTCAATGAGGATAAAATAACTTATAACATAGCCCTCATTAACAGTGACTTCAAACAAAAATTATTTTACCAGGAATCATTGAAAGACAATAAAACTAATGGATCCAAAAACGGAAAAATAAAAATAATATGTTTTAACCTTCATTTCTATAAAGCATTTAATGTAAATATTGGCAGATATTTTCCGACTTTAATCAATAAACATTTTAATCACAACAACCCACTACAAAAAATGTTTAATAGAAAAACTCTAAAAATTACTTATTCCTGCACAAACAACATATATAATATTATTGACTCACATAACAATAAAATATTAAAATCATTTTATGACTGCAACATACCAGATAACAAGCCCTCTTGCAAATGTAGAACCAAAGCCAACTGCTCAGTTGGAGGTATTTGTAATTTCAAAAATGTTGTATACCAAACTACCATCTTTCCAAAGGAAAATATTAATTATAAAAAGTATACATCATTATCTTTGTTGAAATTTGGAAACAGAGATTCTACGATCACAGATATTCCTTCTCTGATGCTTCTTTAATGCACCAAACTGCATTTTTGGAGACTTGAAGATAGAGGCTTCATCCCATAAATTATATATATATATATATATATATATATATATATATATATATATATATATATATATAATGTATATATATATATTTACACACTGTTATGATCACTTATATACACATGTGCATCTATATATGTATAATTTTTTCCTATCTGTTTTTTTTCATTATTTTATTTTCTTTGCCTCACCTTTTTTCAACAATAGATTTCCAAATTTTTATCCAAAAATTTTTCTTTTTATTTCATTTAATAATATTTTATTATTATATATCCCCCATCAGATGTTGCTCTAACTACAGGCCGTCTTCCTGAAATTGACAACTTTG